GAACCCGCGGGCTCAGGCAATCCACTCACCTCAGCCTCCCAAAGGCGCGGGATTACAGGCTGAGCCACCGAGCCCGGCCGGGAGATTTTTAAAATCTTGACTTTGGGTCTCTAATTCTATTACCTAGTCTGCAACTAATTCCAGTAGTGTTGAACTCTGCTGGGAAATCTTCACACATCTCCCAAACTCTCCTGCCAATCTGTATTCTAATCCTTCTCCTAATGAAGTTTGCATATACATATGAGCCTTTTCTTTAATTGGTCCTTATTGCATTTTACTCACGTGTCTAAGTGAAATGACTCTGAATCTAGGCGCTCAGGTGCTCTTTTACAACTGACACTTGGTGTTACCCTGGACAAGTCACATGATCCCCATAGGCTTCTGTAATAGACACAAGTCAATCTCATAGACTTAGGGGAAGATATTTTATTTTATTTCAATATTTTAGGGGGTACAAATGTTTTTTGGTTACATGGATACATTGTATAGTGGTAAAGAAGTCTGGACTTTAATGGTATCTACCACCCCCACCTGTGCACATTGTACCTGGTAGGTGATTTTGTTTTTTATTCCTCCCCAAATTTCCCCTTCTGAGTCTCCTGTGACCATTAAACCATTTTATAGGCCTTTGAAGTTCCTTTAGTTTGGCTCTCACTTATAAGACAGAGCATGCCATATTTGATTTTCCATTCCTGTGTGCTTTACTTAGGATCATGGTCTCCAGTTCCATCCAAGTTGCTTCAAAAGACATTATTTAATTCCTTTTAATGACTGAATATTATTCCATGGTGTGTGTATGTGTATTATATTATGATATATTAATTATTATATTTGCATATTAATATTAATATGACATATATTAATTAATTATACATTATATAATATACGTACACATACATACCCCGCATTTTCATTATCCACTAATCAACTGATAGACATTTAAGTTGATTGCATATCTTTGTAATTGTGAATTTTGCTGTGATGAGCATGCAGATGCAGGTGTCTTTTTATATAACAACCTCTGTTCTTATGGTAGACAGCTAGTAATGGGATTGCTGGATTGAATGGTAGATCTACTTTTATTTCTTTGAGTAATCTCCATACCGATTTCCATAGAGGTTGTACTAATTTTCACTTTCACTGACAGTGTATCAGCATTCCGTTTTCACTGCATCCATGCCAACATCTGTTGTTTTATGATTTTTTAACAGCCGTTCTGATTGGTATCAGTCAGATACCAGTAAGGTGGTATCTAATTGTGGTTTTAATTTGCATTGCCCTTATGATTAGTGATGTTGAGCATTTCCATATGTTTGTTGGCCATTTGTATATTTTCTCTTGAGGGAACTCTGTTCATGTCATTTGCTCACTTTTTCATGGGTATTTGCTTTTTTCTTGCTGACTTGTTTGATTTCTTTGTATATTCTGAATATTAGTCCTTTGTCAGATGTGTAGTTTGAAAATTTCTTCTCCCATTCTGTAGGTTTCCTACTTGCTCTATTGATTATTTACTTTGCTGTGCAGAAGCTTTTTAGTTTAATCAAGTCCTACTTGTTTATTTTTATTTTTGTAGCATTTGCTTTTGGGACCTTACCCATAAGCAAATAATCTTTTGCCTAGGCCAAAATCCAGAAGAGTTTCTATTAGGTTTCCTTTTTGGATTTTTATGGTTTCAGGTCTGAAATTTAAGTCTTTAATAGGGGAAAGATTTTAGAGGCTAAATACTTTAATTGTACCATTTTACAGATATCACTCACATTCACAATAGCAGTCAGATAGCAGTCAGACAGTAGAGGAATCAGGAAACTAGTAGACCCAAAGTGGTTTATGTTTGTTGAGCAAAGGTCTTCCCTGAGAGCACACAGACAGAACTGAGGCTTGACACTCAAACTCCAGCCACCAGTCTAGTGAACTCCATATTTTGTTTATTCCTTTACTCTATAACACTATCTAATAATCCAAGTCTGGTCTCTCTGAACTTGCTTGCAGATTTCCCATAATTTTCTTTGTTTCTTTTAATTTATGGAGTCCTTGATCAACTGAAAAATACTTTTCAGTTTCCGTTTTCTCACCTCTAAAACACTCATACATTTAAAAATGAGTAATTAAAAAATAACACCATGATTAGGAGACACATGAAATGCAACTAGCAAACTGCACATGCACAGAACTGTATATATGGATGGCTTGGATGGTTTTGCTGCATGCTTAAGGTATGTGAAAATGCATATGTTAAGCTTATCTATGTGCCTGGTAGTATTTGTGATGGTTAAAACTTGGCCTCTGAAACCCTCAACTTGTTTGCCAATTCTGTCACTTGCTAGGTGTGACATTTTAGAAAATTTGCTCAATAACTCTGAGCCTGTTTGTACACCTATAAGATGGAATTACATTTATTTCATTAGGTTGTTGTAAGGATCAGATTCTTTCGTTGAATGTCTGTCCCATAGCAGGTGGTAAACAATGATTGCTATTATTATTGCTGTTGTTGCTATTAGGTATTTTTTTAAATGAAGCACAGTATTTATTATGATAATTTATGAATTTAGTTCATTTGTATAGTTTGCCAAACATTTTCCTGTACATCTAAGCGTAGGAGTCCTGTGAGGCAGGCAGAACAAATATCAATTATAATTTCCATTTTATAAGAGACACAGAAACAGCGAAACTAATGACTTGCCAAAGAAATATAGCTTGTGAGTAGAAAGATAGGCCAAAACATTCAGACCCCCTGTGTTCACATCTGGGTTATTATATTTTTTATTTTAAAAATTTTCTTTATTTTGGTTCTTGGGCCATTGTCACTTGAATAAAATCTTGTCATAATTAGTCTTATGCTGCCAGGTTGGGTTTGTCATGGACTCATCTACTAAATGCACAGATCACTGAAATGTTTGGACACAGTGCTGTAAGCACTGTCATATTCTGCTTATTTCTATTGAGTGAGGTTTTTGATTTTACTTTTCTTTCTCCTTTTCAAGAATTAATGTTGAAAAGTGCTTGTAATCTTGTCATCTCATCTGTCAGCAGAATTTACCAACTTGCTGTAATTGTTCCGTAGTACACTCCAGAAGAGAGAGGAATGATCAGATATTGTCTCTGTCTACAGCAAAACTACAACTAGTTATTTGAACCAGGTTCTGCCTACCCCACCCCTCCTTTAGTTAATAAAATATGGGGAGAACACTTCTTTCTTTTCCTATTCTTTTGATATTTCTGTGAAAGAAAATTGAACTTCTGTAGATGATGGAGTGAATATTAACAAGGTTGATGGCGAGTGAGAAGGAAAAACAAGAGTGATATGCCAAAGCTTGGAAAATTCCTAGGCATAATGTGATATTGGCATGAAGGACCCTATTTTATGCCTGTCTGACCAATCTCAAGGCTCATCAATAACCACACCTGATTAATTATTCCGAGGTATCCAAAGAAACCAGCAGAATAAAAATATGTTCTTTTGGATGGGGAAATGGACAACTGCATCATCAGGGCTGCTTTTGGTCTATTTGTTTGAAAGACAGAGCCCTGGAAGGTGGTCCTATATGCCAAGACACAGTTTATTATGGTCATCACTTTTCTAGCTAAGAGAGCTGAAAATCTCACACTGATGCACTCACTTGCCTTTATGTACCATCCTCACCACCACCCAGAAGCCTTTGAGCAGGTATAACCTCTCATATCTGAGTTTCCCGACCTGGAAAATGTAGAAAATTGTGTCAACATCGTAGGAGTGTTGAAAATTTTGTATGCCTTAGTACATGTGAACTCTGAGAGAAATCAATGACAAACACATGGTAAGCGCCTAAGACATGTTATCTGTTATTATTCCATTAGATATGGTAAGGTGTTTTATTCCTGGGCTTATGTATTCATTCTTATCTTTTCCTCAGCATTGACTTTATAGATTGGAAAGGATCTTGATCTAACTTCTACTCCTTTTAAGCTATTTTATAGCCCCGTTTATGTTTAATTTGTAACGTGAAAAAACTACTACAACAAAAAACCAATAAAGAGAAATATGTTTGGAGTCTGATACACTTGGGTATTTAGGTCTAATTTCTGATTCTCTCACTAACGAATTCAGGGACATGGGGCACGTTGCTTAATTTCTTTGAATCTTGTTTTTCTTGTCTCTAAATAAGAGGAATCCCTGTCACCGTGCAGGTCTGAGCTAAATTGATATTATATATGAACAAGTTATTTAATATTTAACACATATGTAGCCATTGGCTCCTTCATTTTAAAAACTGTTTATTGAATGAATTCATTTGAAAATCCTAAGTAATAAGGATGGCAAATGTTTAAAAACTGCCTACTATGTGCCAGAGACTGTATACAGAAGTCATTACCTAATCATCATAACAGTCATAGAGGTATCTACTGTTATAAACACCAAACTACAGAAGAGGAAGATAAAGCTAAGAGAAGTGAGACAGTTTGTTCATGGTGACTTGGGAGCTCTTATTCAGGTAGCCTTGACTGCAGAGTCTGTAATTGTAAACTTTTTGCCTGTGGCTCCTTGGCCAAATCAGATATTTCAATATTTCTAGCCATTGGCCTGGATATGTTTATAGAGCAAAAGGAGAAATGTAGAAGTATAGGTGACTTTTGTTGTTGATGATCATTTTTTCTTCAACAGATTGCAAGGGTGGAAATAACACACATATATAATTTTTCTTATAATTAGAGAGCATTTCATGTCGAGTTAAACTTAGTCTTGATACACCTGCAGGAGGAAATAATAATTTATATTATAATATAATATATAATAATATGTAATATATATTTAAAATTACAGTATATATTAAGAAGTAAATTAGTACAGCTTGATTTTTCCAACTTCATTCCAGCCAATATCCACCCACATAGTTAATCCTATCCGTAAGATGCTATAAGCTATGTGTCCTGGGGGCTATTTAGCATTCGCGATGAAGAAGTGTGTGGATAGGGGTGAAGTTTATCAATTTAAAATATGCTAATTTTTCCTTTTTTCTTTTTAGACTCCAGAAGAATTGGAGGATGATTCTGACTTTGAGCAGGAAGATTACGACGTGCGTAGCCGGACAAGTGTTCAGACTGAGGATGACCAGCTCATTGCAGGGCAGAGTGCACGAGTGAGTGGACACCTAGTACATTTTTTTGGTGCACAGGGGTTTTGTTTACCAAAGTGGTTTAAGGGAATTTTTGAATTCCAGGGATTTGGGACCCCAGAGATTCACAGGTCAGAAATCCACATTCTCCTCTGGGGTTGTTTATAGCAATTCACATTTAACAGATGGAAATGATCACTACTGCTCCTGATCCTTCTAACTCCCCTCTTTCTCTACCACTTGAAACAAAGCAGCCACATCACGGCAAACTCGTGTGTATAATTGATTTTGCTGGGGTTGGGTATTACAATAAGACAGTAAACACACAGAGGACACTGTCATGCTCAACTTTTGCATTGGAAAAATCTCTATCGTTCTGCTTAAAGTCCTTGCAAGAGGCAATGAAAAATGTAGAATCAAGGTACTACTTTGTTAATGACTGAATATTGTCCCGTACTCTGGTCTAGGGTCTGTGATATTTGAAACCATATCTTGTAAAATTGGTTCAACACTGTTAGGTAGCAAGATAACTTTCTGTTTCCCCATGATGCCTACCTATTGCCAGGGCAGTAGCCCTAGATCTGTCTGCCATGTGATAGAAAAATAAATTACAGAGACATACTACAAATATGCCAATTGAAAGCATGGAGCAGGAAGCAACAGAAAGACTACCAGCTCTGCCTGGCATCTGAGCACTCCAGGATGCTGTTTACCAACACAAGTGGTCCAAAGAGCATCCTGTAATTGGACCAATCAGCTAAGCTGTGTTAGCAGAGAGTTGGTGTAAGTAATCAAGGCCAGTGGTAGAAGATGAAATCCTTAGAGGCTGCAAGAGGGTGAGACTTTCCTTCCTTTAGAGGCTTAGTTTTTTGTTTTCTGTGTTTTTTTTTTGAGTTGGAGTCTCACTCTGTCGCCCAGACTGGAGTGCAGTGGCCACTTCCGGCCACCACAGCCTTGACCTGCTGGGCTCCAGCGATCCTTCCGCCTCAGCCTTCCAAGTAGCCAGAATTACAGGCATGTGCTACCACACCCGGCTGATTTTTGGGTTTTATTGTAGAGATGAGGTCTTGCTGCCCAGGTGGGTCTCGAACCCGCGGGCTCAGGCAATCCACTCACCTCAGCCTCCCAAAGGCGCGGGATTACAGGCTGAGCCACTGAGCCCGGTGAGGCGTAGTTTTCATAGAGTAAAAAACAATCAAATTATAGTATAACTGAGAATTAGATATTCTAATTTTCTATGTTAAATTTTACTTTAAAAAAAAGATAATGAATTGAAAGCAGGAGATTGAGAGAGATGGGAATTTAGGATGGGAATTGGGAAATCCCAGAAAGCTGAAACCACCTTGGGAATTATGAAATAAGAGTAAACAACCAATAGGAAGTTAAAATAAGGATGACTCCAAGGAGATAGTGATTCAAGAAAGACGTTGTACTTAAAACCCAATTTCTCTTATATGCTTTATGCCCTGATATTCTCACCCAACAAGTAAATGATCCAGAAGATATAAATGGACATTGATAGGATAAATGTGAAGGGGAAAGTCAAAACATTAAAGACACATTGATTTGATTTCAGACAGATTTGGTTTTGAATTGTAAAAGGAAGAGTTGCAACCATGCTCAAAGCTCTGCGTTGCTTAATTCCTCTGGGTTTCAGACTCATCTGTAAGATGTGAAAAATAGACTTACTTGATAGGATTCTTGTGAACATTTAATATTTGTAAAACAATAGGCACAATATCTGAAATACAGTAAGTGCTTAATAAAGATGGCTGTGATAATTATGATCTTTTTGTCGAGAAACCTCTTCTTATCATTTGATGGTGACAGTAGAAAAGTATATACAGCCGGGCTCAGTGGCTCAGCCTGTAATTCCGCACTTTTGGGAGGCTAAGGTGAGTGGATTGCCTGAGCCCATGCATTCGAGACCCACCTGGGCAACTTGGCGAGACCTCATCTCTACAATAAATCAAAAATTAGCCGGGCGTGTAGCGCGCGCCTATAGTTCCAGCTACTTGGAAGGTTGAGGCGGAAGGATCACAGGAGCCCAGCAGGTCAAGGCTGCGGTGGCCGGGAGCGGCCACTGCACTCCAGTTTGGGCAACAGAGTGAGACTCCAACTCAAAAAAAAAGAAAAAGAAAAAGAAAAAGAAAAAGAAAAGTATATAAAAGGGTATAGAGCTCCCCACTTATAAATTCTTTGTAGACTCTATTTAATCCCCCCTAAAATGTTAACAATTGGAAAGGTCAGTAAACTTAGAATCTTTCAAGGTTGTGTTGGCATAATGCCAAACTAATTAAACAAGTCAATTCATCTTCAAAATTAAGTAAAGCCAGCATTTTTATGTCACTGACAAAAGGGCAAGTTTGAGTAATTCATCCAAACATTAAGCAATTCAATGTCAATTTGATTGACTGGGTGCAACTCAGTATAGATACAGCTCAGTATCCATTATGTAGTTTTCTCAAAGACCAAGACTCATCGTATCCTTATCTTGCTTTATAATCACCATCTTGTCAAAATGACATGATTGGCCCCACTTTTTACATGGAAGAGCAGAGTTCTAGTGTACTTCTGTTTCATGTTTCATATTTACATCAGACATCAAGTCAATGATGATGGGTGGAGATGAAATTCAGATGACTCTTGTCTTTATCATCTGTTATTTCTTCACACTACTAACTCTTTTTGAAAGTTTTTCTGGCATGAATCGTGAACATGGTCCAAGCTAGTAAGAACACAATACTCCTATAATCCAGTACTTGCTATTTTATCTTTGAGTTCCATCATGTGGTCTGTATGATTAATTTGCAGCAGACAGCATTACTTATTGAGTCAGCCTATTTTCGCTTGTAATTACATGATGACAAATCAGAGACATAGAATTATGGCTGTTAAGTTGTAAATAAGAGGGTGCATTGAATTGCTGAGATAATAAATGGTTGAGATTTTGACCAGCAAAGTTTGAGAAGTTGGTCAAAATTGTGATGGAAGCAAACTTTGTCTGTGACAGGGGCATTTGCTTGTCCCAGCAGCAAATTCTCCCCTGGGAGTGATATTATTCTGTGTTCTTAGTCAGAGAAATTCTTCCCCTCTGAAAACAGCAAATTAATCAAAAAGAAGGTTAAAGTTGATCTCAAATTTTGGGGGAAAAAAAAGAAAAGAAAATACAAAGCAAGATAATATAACTAAACATAACACAATTTCCCCCCAAAATGCAGTGAATTTCTCCAAGGACTTGTTTTCCGTGAACATTTTTAATAATAAAAAAGTTAAGATTTATATATGTAATGAATATAAATCTAAGACCATAAATTCAGGTGTGTGAATAAAAAAAAATTCCTTTGTATATTCCTATCTGCTGCTTGTCTGTTTGAGAGAGAATGGGAATTGGAATGGGAATGCATATGACTAGTAGTGATGTTATAAAATAAGGAGGTGATCTTACCCTTTGATTCTAGACATGACATCTTATAAACTGTTTCTCCAAAGTTGACATAGTTAATAAAGGTTAGTGACTACTATTAGGCACTTCATCTTGGTGATAGAATATATTATTTGGAGTCACACTGACCTGATTTTAAATATGAACCCAGTGAAATTGTGTGACTCTGGGGTGGCTTTCTTAATCGCTCCACGGCTCATCTGCTTGTGTATGTAAGATCGATACACAGCATCCTACCTCATAATGGTATTGGGAGATCGGCATGATAAAATATATCATAGGATTTGTTATATGGCTATGTAATAATTAAGTTGGTGATGATGCTTGTAGCTTGGGCTAATCATTCATTAGAAGTCTGGCCAAATAATTTCAACTGAAAGAGTTGGATAATTTAGGCAATCATGAGAGTTTTTACTTGAATTAATGGTACAATTACCTCAATTTTCCAATTCAGTTCACAGACTGAGACTGGTAAAAGTCAAAGGACTCACTCCTTAACTACTTCTGTTTATTATCCTGCTTTAAAGTCAAGTGAGTAGAAAGAGATGTATTTGAGTTTTAGTCCCTTTAATCATTACTTATAAACATTCTTGTACTTGAAACCTTAATGTTAGCCCTTTGCTCTATGTTTAAGAAATGAACACTTGTCAGTTTGGGGGGCCTACAGACTTCAAAAGTCATTTATCTTCTAGAGATTGGGAAAATAGTTTTATCAAAAGCTCCCTGAGGTTTAAGTTGAGGGAAAGATTCTGGGAGATTTTGAATGGTTGTTAGCTTATTTTAGTAGGTAGAGTTTATAACATTAATAACAAAAAATGGTTGGCTGTTCAAGGAGAAGGCTAGGAGGGCTTTTGGGGTAGGAAAAAGGAATTCTTGTGGATTAAAATCTCTAATACTACCCGTTTGGGACCCCAGACAAACAATCTGGCGTCGGTGCTGGGCAACTATGAAAAACATTAGAAGAAACTCTCAGACTGCCCCAGGAAATCACATCACAGACACAGGAAAGCTGGCTTGTCCCCTTTCTTCTTGGCCATGAAAATAATTTTTCTCATGTTCCCTTAGTTTGAGGGAATGAACCATTGTATGTCATGTATTTTATATTGAGCTGGCCTCTTTTTTTTTGGTTTAGTTAGAATGGCTTTAATGTGTTAACATTTCAAACTGCTGAGTTACATTGATAAGACCTAATTAAAACTTATGTGTTGAATTTTAATTTGATTAACTTGCAAATTTTGCAGTTTGTGATCTACTGTTTATAGATAATCTTTTTTTTACATTACAGTTTGAGAAAAGGTCAATTATGAATTTTTAAAGGCAACAGCATTTTAAGAATATTTAGGAATAGACTTCAACTCATTGACAGCTACATAAGCAGAAGTAAATGTAAGGACGCTTTCACCCAAGTCACACACCATTAAGTGTGTTATGCAGGTCATACAGTCCTGGAGTAAAAATAATACCTTCTTTTGCTTTGGAGGGGCCAGTTGTTCTTCAGAATTTTATCCTTAGAACATGTTTGTTAGTTCCTGCGACTTCTCTTGAATTATTTTAATGCAGTGAATGCAAAAATATATTGAAGCAGTCAATCAAAAGATATTTATTGAGCTTCTACTTTGTGTAGGATATGGAGGCCTCAATCCTAAGGAAACACATAGGGAGGTAGGGCATTAATAGGAATTAATTAGAGAGCAAAGCAGTTATTATTTGAGTGACAAATTATATAATGGAAACTCAAGTGCTATAGTTGACAGAGACATGTATACCCTTCAGTGCACAAATTAACATTTTGAGACAATGAAATGTGCATCGCTTTCCATTTGAGAATTGAATATAAAGTCTGGAAGTCTGTTGATAGTTTCAGATTCCTTTACAGAAAGTCACCTAATGAATGCTTTAAATGATGCTGGTTTAAGACCTGTGAGGTCTGAGTAAAACATGATTAGCTGTTTTGTATAAGGAGGACATGAATCTTGGCTAGGATTAGGTCATCAGGGATGTTTCGGGGGGAAAAAATGTACAAAGTCAAATCTATCTCAAATGCAATGGGACAGTTGCCTTGTTATGAATACAACATTGCAAATATGAGTTTATTATAAACTTGTTTGTGTAGGAAGCACCTTTTTAAAAAATATAGTTTTAAAAAAGTACTTTAGCAGTATTTTTCAAAATACAGTATTTCTAACATTTCAACTATAGTATTTGTACAAGTCTGTCTTTTAAAATATGGATTATAATTTTTATATACACATGCATATCCTAAGTATACATATACATACATACACATACTATATAAAGCCACACACATGCGTGCATGGAGGTTAGTAGATGTGGCTATCTATTGTTAAGAAGTAGCTGAGCACCTTTATGCAAATCAGAAAAAGATGCCTTTTCCTCTGGATGGAGGAAGCCCCAACACCAGATGAAAAGAATCATAACAGTTTTCTATTTGTACATGCATAGACTCTGGGCCCGTCCCTTTCCCTTGATGCAACTAAATAATAAGTCAGATGAGTAGCTGGAAAGGAAAACTAATGGCAGAAATGATAATACAATGCTAACCATAATTCTACACATGCTTACTTTCATTTTTTTGTGGACAAAGCACTTAACCATTTATTATTTAATTTGTTACCCACCATTACCTTCTGAGGTAATTGTTTACTATTCCTATATTATATCTGAAGATATTATCATAAACATCTGATCCATATAGCAATAAAATCTTAATCCAAGTCAGAGCCCTGCTAAGCCCAGTTTTTTTGAGCTCATGCTGATTGACATTTCTATTAGGTCTCAGCTATCTTCCCTCCACATAACTCCCTTACACTGGAAGGAATGTTATAATTTAGGAAGTACTTTTCCCATATAATTTACTTGTTCATTGCAAAAACTGTAGCTACCTCAAGTCGTGCTCTCTTTGGTCTAGTCTGTCTTCTGGAGAATATTTATATTCCAGAACCAGAAGGATAGGCTTGCTGAAGTTCTTATCCATGTGCTTCTGTCTGTGAAGCAAGTTGTGGATGGTTCTGGAAGAATGAGAGGAGGCAATAAGGTGATGTCAAGCATTTCACTCAGGGCCTGCCGCATAAATGTTGCTTAAGTAATAGTCGATTCTCATTCATGGTAAGTTATGTTCTATAAAGGCACTATGAACACTTAATTAGCAAATATTTAATCATTGCTCTAGAGGGAGATACAGGCTAGGTTCTTGAGAGCTGCTGGTCCCATTTTCTTCAATGGATCAATGCATAACTATGTTTAATAAGTGTTTCTGTTTAGATGCCTTATTTTATTGGTTTGATTAATTAGCATTGAATGCAGAATTGACAGCACTGTCACTCATGCCTGTGCTGTCTGAAGCTTATCTGACACACCTATTTTCTCCATAATGCACATCCCAACCTTCTTGTGCTTAGGGACGCTGGACAACTCTTCAGCACTATGCTTGGGAACCATTTTAAACGACAAAATCACCAACAAAGAGCACAAAAAGATATGAAAGATGGGGTACAAACTAGGTCACATCAAGAGCTGAAAAAAAAAGGCATACCATTGCCTTATTAAACCTCATCTGGGAATATGCATGTTGGGTGACTCAAATGTTTTGCTACTCTGTCCACACTCACGAATGACCACAAAATGCCACAAGTGTTGATATGGGGGTTACAAATATATTTTAGAGAGTAGGGAATTTGCAAATGAAGAATTCATGAGTAATGAGAAAGAAAACTGCTTTTCTTCCCTTTCTACATTTTCTTGCCATGCAACTATTGAGAATCAACATTTTGCTTCCTAACCTTATACTTTATTTTGTTACAGCATTTCTATCTATGTATTCAGAGGTTTTATGAAGAGCCTTGGTCATCCTACCACCATAAGACAGGTGGAGGAGGGCTGGAAGTAGGCATGTCATCCCTGAAATGCCCTGGGTAGGCGATTTTTGTTTGGCATCTATATGTGGGCATCTTCATTTACACTCATAGAATGTTTCCCCACTCCACCCTACTTGGACGCTCGGATAGTGTTTAAAATTCCTTTCCTTTCCAGCGACAGAAGGCCTTTTTTCTTTTTTTCCCTCTGCTGAACAGATTTCAGTGTTGAAAGAGGTGCATTCTTTCATCTGGTAAAAGTTTCCTGAGACCGAATATAAAAATTGTCAAGAATAGATCCTTTTGAACAAACATATGTCATCAAAGCGACAAAGAAGTTCTGTTCTTGTCAGTGCTCACGTACCTCTGGGTTTTTCTGTATTTTGCATGTATGGGAGTGGGAACGGGGACTTCAGGAAGCTTACCAGCCTGGGTTCTTGGCCTCCCTGGAATGGAGAAGACATGCTTTCCAGGATGGCAGCGTAGATCATAAGCCTTGTCAGGGTCTGGCTCTGCTGTCCACAGAAGGCAGAGGCAACATATCGTCTGTACTTCCTTTGTCATCATTACTCACGCTTTTTCTGTAAACCCACACAGGCCATCATGGCGCAACTACCACAGGAGGAAAAGGCAAAAATAGCCGAGCAGGTGGAGATATTCCACCAAGAGAAAAGCAAGCTGGATGCCGAAGTGGCCAAATGGGACGACAGCGGCAATGATATCATTGTGCTGGCCAAGCAGATGTGTATGATCATGATGGAAATGACAGACTTCACAAGGTGAGGCCCAAGGCCAGGGAGGTGATTTTCCTCATTAAATGCAGAGTGTAGCAGTAGGCACTAGCATGTGAAAGCCTGCTGTAGAATTAAAATACATCAAAGCAAGGCGGTGGTGTTATACATGAACAAGTATAAATGTATAAGTCAAAATGATCTGGACTTAATTCCTAGCAGATAGGTCTTTTTGGTCAAAGGAGAATAGATTCATTTTTGTAATTATGATTGTTTTAATTGTCTATCCTAAGGCAGTCATAAAGTCAAACCCTAGGGGATGGGTGTCTCATCTTTTTGGTCTGTGTTCTATTTTGCTATATGCTTAAATATTATACTGAAGATGAAGTGAATGGCTTGTTAATATCCTTTTGAAAAAAATATGTATCTGTGTGTGTGCGCACATGTATGCATATAATATGCTGTAATACTAGTTTGTGATCTAGTATTGATTTTAGCTCACACTTTACTCTTACATACTAAGAATCAGGTACAACAATCTACAATTCTATAGTTTTGACAGGGAAATTAAATTCTGTATAAGTTTTATTTCCCTTAACTCTGAGTTAGTGCTTTTGATAAATCAAGAGTTCGGTCAGAATTCTGTCAGGATCCTTTTCTTCACCAGAGGTCACTGCTTCTTCTGCCACTACATTTTGGTCTCTTCTTTAAAGGAAGGTGACATCTCTCATCTTCCTCCCACACAAAGGGCAAACCAAGGAAGCAAAACTCAATGGAAACATTCCTGAATTTTGAGTTAGAACATCATGTGATTTGGGGGCAAATCTCTGTTTATTTGCAAAAGAGTGAAATAAGGCTTGGCTTATCAACTTCACAGAAGAGTTTTAAAATCCAAAGAGATAATATAAATATAAATCATACTGCCAAATGCAAGTTATCATTTTACTGTAGTTTTTTTTTTTTTTTCTGGAAAACACAGACACAAAAACACAAAGATATTTTAGCAATTCAACATGGTATTTATTACTGAAACTATGTAAGCTTTATGGCAATGTCAAGATATCACCTTAAGGATGACAGTTCTTTTTAATGGTTGTTTAATGCTCCTAATAAGAAAAAGGCTAGGATTGATTATAAGTTATAATATAATATGAACATCTCTGTGTCATTCCCTCTGCCTCTGGCTAGTATGTACTAATGACATTGCTTGGCCCTTTTTCTAAATATTTTAAAATTACTTTTACTTCAGTGGAATGCCTTTAGTGTTATGAGGGAGAATTTTGAGACTTTTAAATGGCATTGTATTCATTAGAAGTTCAAATTTGTACATTTGATTTGTCTTTGTGGACTTCATAGATTTATTTCACAAAAAGCAATAGTAGGGAAAACGTCTGAGACATTATGTAAGCCTGAAATTTTCTACAAGTCAGACTATCATGGCAGCTTTCATCATTACTTCTTAAGTCCTGTGATGACTCAATTTGCTTGCTTTTGACGTTTTATTAGCACTTTATCTGATGGATATTATGCAATCCACTAATAACAGCATCACTTGAACAAATAATCTCATGAGTTTAAAGTGAATAATAAATCTGATCAATGTTGCCAGCTTAGATCAGGGCACATTTTATAATTCTCTAGATCATATATAACTGTGGTCAAGGAAGAGAGATATATTTGAGGGGTCTCGTTAGATGATGTGAAATGAGACAGATGTCTATGAGTCAAAGTATAGTTTTAACAGTGAAAAGAAGACCACGTCAATGTCCTGGGGATTTCATATCATTACTTTATGCTGATTTGGAAAATGAAATGTCTAGGATGCTACTAGTTACAGTTTTTCCCTCTGCTTGATGGGTAGCTTTATGACCCTGTGAGAGGGCAAAATCACAAGTACAATAATGAACAACTAGAGAACCAGAGAAGGATGTGAGTTGGAAAAACAACCCAGGAAGCAGGGGCATCACTCCTGCCTCTATCTGCAGAGAGCCTGTTCTTCTGCAGTGACAGCTGACTAGTGCCTTTCTTTGTGCCCTCTCGCCTAAGTTCACTATACTTGACCTTACGCACTGTTACTATTGCCCTTGCATTTTTTACTCCAAGGAGGGATAATTTTACCTCCATGACGCTAAACACTTCTGTGTACTATTTTTTCTTATTTAAAGAAAAGGATCTAGCTGATTAGGAATTGAAACTTGGCCACTCATCTTAATTCATATGTTTAAAGGGCACATGGGTGCAAAAAAAAAAAAAATCCTTGCATTTATTATCTTGTTTTGTTCTTATCACTAGCTAATTCATTAATTTGATTCGGTAATCTTAATGATATCCACTTCATTATTATTAAAATTGGAGAGGTTTTACTTCATTATTTGTGTAATAACTTCTTCATGGAGGATAAAACAGTTTATACCTCCTGTCTTTTTTCCTGCTCAGTTCTTGACTTCCATCTCATGGACAGCGACAGAAGCACCAGAGAGAAATAGCTTGTGCCTGTCTGTGTCCCAATAACAAAAGGTGTGCAGACAGCAGCAGCTCAAGTTTAATTGCATAGCAAAGAGCAAAGCTGTTTTAAAAATAAAGCTCTGAGAGAAAAGTGTTGAGGCTAAGGAAAAAAACTTTCACAGTGGAATCACTGTAAAATATTGAGTACCAGTCTCAAAAATCCTGTATTCACCCTGCCTGTACTTATCAAACTTTACATATTTCCTGCTTCAGTTCAGATGTTCAGAACCTCAGCTCAGGTTGTTTTTAACTGGTCTTTCAGTTCCAATTCTCTACTCTTTTCATCCAACAAGTTGTGTACCAAACTTTTCTTCGTTCCCCTTTTCAGGAAATAAAAAAAATCTTTGTGTTTGTTCAGGTCCTTTTTTAAAAAAAAAAAAATTTAATTTATTTTATATATTTTTATTTTTAAATTGTGGGGTACAGTTAAAGCTTAGGTATACAAATATTCATTGTTCAGGTACCCTTGTTGATGAGGTGTGCCCCCCTTTCCCCAGACAGATATTGACTACTGTTAAGCCCACCTCCTTTCCCCTCCCTGTCACCCCCCGCCCCCAGTTTCCCACCACTGTCAATCCTTTTCTTATAGTATTGCAGTAATTGTTCAAGGTCCACTTATGAGTGAGAACATGTGATCTCAGATCTTTGTTTCTGTGAGAGATCACTCAGTATTATAGACTCTGATTTCATCCAGGTTGCTGCAAAATTCATGACTTTGTTCTTTTTTATGGCTGAGCAATATACCATTGTGTATATGCACTACATTTTTAAATCCAGTCCTCTTTTGATGGACAGCATGGTTGGTTCCATGATCTTGCTATTGTGAACAATGCTGCGATAAACATACGTGTGCAGGTATCTTTTTTATAGAGTGATTTGAATTCTTCCGGGTATATTCCCAGTAGGGGGATTGCAGAGTCATATGGAAGGTTGATTTTTAGAACTTTTAGGAATCACCACACTGATTTCCACAGAGGCTATACTAGTTTATACTCCCACCAACAGTGTAGAAGTGTTCCCTTTTCACCACATCCTCTCCACCATCTGTTATTTTTTGAGTTATTGATGATGGGCATTCTGACTGGAGTTAGGTGGTATCTCAATGTAGTTTTAATTTGCATCTCCTTGATGACTAGTAACGTTGAACATTTCTTCATGTATCTGTTGGCTGCTCGTATGTTTTCTTTTGAGAAGTTTCTTTCATAGTGTAATCACTGTAAAATACTGAGTACCAGTCTCAAAAATCCTGTATTCACCCTGCCTGTACTTCTCAAACTTTACATATTTTCTGCCTCAGTTCAAATATTCAGAACCTCAGCTAAGGTTATTTTCAACTGGTCTTTCAGTTCCAATTCTCTACTCTTGTCATGCAACAATTTGTGTACCAAACTTTTCTTTGTTCCTCTTTTCAGGAAATAAAAATCTTTATATTTTGTTTGTTCTTCAAGTCTTTTTTTTTTTTTTAAAACCTTTAGGCTTCTGTCACAATTTTGTACATATTTAAAATTTGTCCTTAAGACTATAATATAAATGTTACTTCCTGGAATAGTTAACTCATGATTCTGCAGTTCCATCTAACTTCTCAGAATTCCCGATTCATTCAACTGTTCCACTGTGCTGTCTACATACTGCTTCAGCTGATTGTTGAAATGTCCCAGGCATCTTATAGAGCCCTAGTTCTGAAAAGAGGCTTCTGTAGTTTAATACATTTGCAAATACCCTTCTTACATGCTATAGCTCATTATTGGAGAGTCACATTTGATATTAACAAGTTAGATACATTGATAGGCTATAGAAAATACACCTTTTTTTTTTTTTTTGAGTTGGAGTCTCGCTCTGTCACCCAGACTGGAGTACAGTGGCACACTCATGGCCACTGCAGCCTCGACCTGCTGGGCTCAGGCGATCCTTCCTCCTCAGCCTTCCAAGTAGCTGGAACTACAGGCACGCACTACCACACCTAGCTAATTTTTTTATTTATTGTAGGGTCGAGGTCTCACCATGTTGCCCAGGCTGGTCTCAAACCCTGGGCTTAGGCAATCCTCTTGCCTCAGCCTCCCAACGTGCTGGGATTGCAAGCTTGACCCACTGTACTCAGCCAAAATTAAACCTTTTTAACTTGAATTAAGTCAGAATTTAAATTTTGAATACAGAATGAGAATGTACTGAAATATTGTTTTCCACCCTAACACTACCTTTTCACAAAAATGTGGATTAGTTGCCAAATGGAAACATGGTAGTAGTGATGTGATAGTGGTGACATGGAAATAGTTTTCCTTGCCTTCTTTTTTGGAGTGACTACTTTGCAGGAAAGACTCCAAGTATTGACCCCTACATAGAAAAAGACCAAAAGAGAGGTTGCAAGATAAGTAGAGATAATGTTATGGTTTGATGCTCTTTCTAAGAAAACTAAAAACATATTCCAGAAGGGACAATGTGATGGCTCATGTCATTAAGGACACCAGATTCCCAAAACACCTTTTAAGACTCCCCAAAATAGAGAATCTGGTCTAAGGAAAACATGAAGGGTGCAAACAATCATT